TAACCGCTGACTTGAGATTCTCTGAAATATGATCTCCCCCTAAATAATAAAGTCTTACGTTTTATCCACCCCGTGCAGAATAAGAGACCAGGGTACACACTGCTTGTCTTGGTTAAGTGGCTCTGCAAGGTGGAAGGCACTCAGACTGGGGATACCCAGGCTTCCAGCTCATCACTGCTGCCATCTGCTATTACCTGGGCTTCCTTCTCTACCTACCCTGAGCATCCAACCGCTCCTTCTAAAAAATGACAAATGCTGCTCACCCAGTAGGTAAAGAGGACCTGCCAGGCAGAGAGGATAAGCTCTCAGGAAAGGGCAATTGCCCTGTCACCATACTATAGACGACGTTAGGCCTTTCCTCCCCTTACTAGCCCCTAGGAGGCCTGCTTCTCATCTTTTGCCCACTAACCTACACGCCATCCATCCAGACTAAAAAAGACCTGCACTGTCTTCCCTCTGAGAGTTCCCACTGTTGCTCACATGGGTGTCTGCCAAAGCCAACTTCAATGTACTAGGGAAACACTTGAAGAGGCCATGTCTAAGAACAGATTGTGTAAAAGCCAGAACTGCCTGTACCTCAAAGACATCTACAGAGCCCTCAATTCACAGCGCTTCACAATGCTCCACTGGGGCTAAGTTAGGTCCAACACTGATGGTACTAGAACATCTGTTTCTAAGAACTGGCAGCTCCAGGCAGCCCTTCCAGCTTCAAGGCACTGGCACAAATTAACTTCAACCAAGAACAAAATAATAACTGAAAGGTCAGAACAAATCGCCTTTTGAAAGTGTACCTTAGTGAAAAAGAACACCTCTGCTGTTTGAGACACAGAAATAATCCTATCAATAATAAAGAGAATTTGCTGCCAGGTTTGGTGTGTGCCTGTAATTCTAGCACTTGGAAGGATGAGGCAGAAAGACTGTTATAAGTTTGAGGCTACCTGTGCTACATATGAGACTCTCTCTCAAAAGATCGATAGATAAGATCTTTTCTTCTAAAGGATATTCTTTTCTTTTTTTTCAGTTCTTGGGGATAAACTGAAGGCCTCACACACACTAGGTAAGTGTTGTACCACTGAGCCACGTCCCCAGCTCTATGCATTCTTTTAAACCTACTCTTCAGTTCTCAGTTAGGCTGTTGACTCAGGACAGTGCCTTCAAGGAACACCCTAAAACCTAAGAGGGGATGATGACTTCAAATTATCCATCACTTGCTCACCAATTAGTTAGCAAATTACAGAATTAACTCCATTTCCGGATAGAAATTATAATGTTACTGCACATGACAGGCTTATAAAAAGGAAAATGCATACTACCATATCACTATTTGACCATGTCTGGATAGTTCTTCAAAGGAAATCATTAGCACTTTGCAAACTATGTATTCCACGAGTAAAGAGTCATAAAAGTCATCCAAAGGCTACTTGTCCATACTGGTAGTTAAACAGAATCTTCAAGTAGCTGTACTTGAAAGCTATCTTTCTGCGTTCAACCGCATCTTTCTGCGTTCGTTTGTGTTTAGCTGTGATGGGGTTCATCATAATGTGTCCCCTCCCTAGCTCACAGCAGTGGCTCTGCATCTATGTACTGAATTAGGATAATAAACAGTAACAATATAAAGCTATTAGGCATGTTCTTCTCAGATCTTCCTATTAGCGTAGGAGTACGTGACATAACAAGCTTTGTAATAGGTAAAGCACAATTTTCAATGTCCCCCCCCCCAAAAAAAACAGAGATGAACCTCCAGTGAATCGATCAAGTGCTGAATCACTCAACTTCTTTCAACCATGCGTGATTTCCAGTCAATTCAACTTCATTCTTTTTGAAAAAGGCTAATAGGGTAATGAAACCTAAGGGAAAGCACTCTTAATCAGACTCAGGTTTAAGTCATTGACCCTTTATGTATGCCTTGCTTATAAATTAGATTCCACTTAAATCAAAGTAGTGCTTCTTTTCTAACACGGGGGGGGGGGACACAACTGGTACATAAATCTCAAGGCTTCTGTTTTAACTGATCCTACACAGTAACTGAGTTCACAGATCAGTTTACCACTCCCAATAGGTACCATTATCAGCCCCATTAGTTCAACACATGTTTCAGTCAACTAGAGTAGGTATATAATTTGAACAGTCAGCTTTTAGAGGATTTATGCTCATTGGTTCATTAATTGAATAATGTGTCAACATAACAAAATGTTTGCTTCTTGCCAGCTCAGAGAAGCAAAATCTCCCTTGGGCTGAATGTTCCACTTTCTGAGACTCCTGTAACAGGCACAGGAGGCAGCGCCCCAGCAGACTGGTGTTCCATTTAAACTTGCCTGATAGTATCTAGTTCGGCTGCTTTGCTGTTTAAAACTGCAGAAAAGGCAAAACAACCAAAACAAAGAATATTATAGTGACTACAAATGATTAGCTGGAAATAAAAAATGAATGGTGACAGCCCAGTGGCAAGTTAAATGTATGCTTCTCATTGAAATACAAGGAATCAAAATCTAAACAACTTTTTCAAGAACACCAAAGACTGGTGATCCACATAGCTCATTCCAAAATGAAGCTGAGATAGAAACTCATCAGAAAAGATCTAACCGCATCCTTTACCAACAGAGTGAAGTCACACTAGCTTTTTGAGTCATTAATGCTGAGGCTTTTTAACATGAAATAAACTTGCTTATGGGATCTAGAAATCTTCCAACCACACCATTTCCAAAATAACCAGGTAGCCTATTTGCAGGATGCTTTATCTGATAATTTCAATGTAACCCAATCCTAACACAACACAAGGACTGACTGTTGCTATGTAAATGGTTATATTACAAAACTAAAGCCAAAGCCCTTGAGACAAATACAAAATGAATTAGAATCCCAGAACAAGAGTCCAATGGCAAATTCAAGAGTCCATTTAAAAAACAGCAACAAGATAACAATTACCAAAAGGCTGTTTTCTACAATTACTCCCCAGCTGACATTTCTCCATTCTAAAATATCAAGAGAAATAAAGCTCATCATCACCAATTCTCCCTAAAAAAGAAAGCATTACCAAAGAATATCACCAAACACAAGGGCATTTATACAGGAAAGTGAATGCCCTAAGCACATACGTATGTTGTTCTTAAGACAACGTAAAAAGCAGAAGTCACATAAAGTTCAAAATACAGAAAAAAAGTCCCAAGTTCCTAGTTTTAGTAATATACAACCCCCAACTCCCCCCAAATTGCACCTGAGTTGAGATTTCTTGATCTTATATATAGAAAGCACACATAGAAACCCCCTGCTTGAGGGTGGAGTAGGGTCATAGGAAAGCAGGAGAAAAAAGAAATTAAGCATTTTATTTCACATGTATAGAAATGTAGTTTTGTTGTTTTTAAAATGAAATTCAGGTTTGATCTGGGGAAGCTTGTTTTTGTTCTCTGAGTTTCCCATTTGTCAGAAATTTTTAAAAGCTCTTACTTTTCAGTTAGTATCAGATATGTTAAACTCCAAGAGTGTTTAATTCACAACACTCCACAAAAGTCAGCACGTTTCCCTGATTCTCACCACTTGTACCGCTTAGTAAAGAGCAACACACCCTGCCAGTCAACAGGAGGCAGGGGCTAAGGAGAGACAAGAAGCCAAGAAACACCTCCCTAGCATGTCTTCATCACAAAATTTGTTTTTTTTTTTTTGTTCACAAAATTTGACGTGGCACAAAATAAAAGTACTCAAAGGAGCTGACTTTTTTCCTATATAATGAAGCTTATGCATGCACTTGTAGAAAATAATCTATGATCACTTGGTACTAATGATTCTTTTTCCTTATATCTAGGTAGCATTAGGGCAATCTTGTGATTGAGAATTTCAAATACAAAACACCTTTTTTCGAAATTCCAACATTTTACAGAACTGCAAGGTTTCAAATTCACTATAAAGATGATGCCTCTTTATACCAAGGGTTCCACCAAGAGCTATATAGCATCAGGGTGCCACACTAGCTGTGTAACTAATGATAGTGTTAACTAGTAAAAGAGCTAGAAAACTAAACTCAACAATGATTCTCTCTGGCACACTCACTGAAACTACTAACCTCATGAACATGTGGTATTGCTAATACCATAAACTGGTAAAACCCTAAAATTAACCAAAACCTTAGTAAAATCTGTATTAAATCATTTGAGAGCAAATGACAACTTGTTCGCCAATTCCATGGGGTCCCTCCTGGTGGTTTAACACTAAATTTCTGTCATCACCCCATTTAACATGTTCAAATGAATCTTATTTCAACGTTCCAAAGAAAGTGTCACAGAAGATGCACAAGTTGAAGAAAGCTGCTCAAGTGACACACTTTGTACCCAAACCAAAAACTGAGTGGGTCAAAACCCACTCTTCCCTGCCAGGGTATGAGAGGACAGGAGACTGGGAAGATGCCTAGACAAGCACCTGGGACAAAAGACCAGCCAAGCCTGCACTCTCCATCTCCGAAGTCAGAGTGAGCAAGAAGAGGCTGGAGTTGGAAAAGGGGGGCAGCAGAGAGGGCACTAGGCACCCAGAAAGGAATGAGAAGGGTGGCACTCTAGGGAAGGACAAGCACTGAGTATAGGACCCTAAGTATGGGGGTAGAGGGAGGTCAAGAGATGGGGCAGCAAGTGTAACCCAGCTGGGCTGGAAAGCAGCTCTGGGTTGGGGCAAGAGCGAGCTACAGCAACGGAACAGGGAGGACCGTAGAGATGAAACTAAATGGATAAGCAGGGAAGGGGCAGGGGAGGGCGGCACGGACGCGACTGGTCCAGCCAGGTCACAACCGCATCCCAGCCTCTCGGCCGGAGCGCTCGCCGCGCGCCGAGCACTTTGCCGCGCGCTCCCAACAGCCCTGGCAGCCCGACTGCAGGGACCGGCACGGCGAGGCCCTGGCCCGAGTCACCGGCCGAGGGCGGCGGGGCGCGCGACCCTCGACCTGCGGGGCGGGACGCAGGGGGTCGCCGGCGGCCGCGGGGGAGAGCAGCGGCGGCGCGGGCCGCGGGCGTCGGTACCTGGGCTCGGGCAGCACGATCTTCTTGCTGGCGCGGGCGGCCGGCGTCGCCTTGCTTTTCTCCATGGCCATCAGGTAGCTGACATCGGCCAGCACGGCCTCCAGGTCCGCCATGTTGGCGAGCGGCGGCGGCGGCGGCGGCTCCCGGGGACCGGCACGGGACGCGCTCTCGCCGCCGCCGCCCGCCGCGCCGCGCCACCACGTGGGGGGCCGCCCCGGGGCAGCCCCCTCCCCCCGCGCGCCCGCCGGGGACCCCGCGCGCCCCGCCCCGCCCCTGCGCGCCGCCCGCCCGCCCGCCCGCCCGGCGCACGCGCCGCCCCCGCCCCTTCCGCGAGGGTCGGCAGGGAGCGCCCGGGCGGCGCCTCGCCTGCAGACCCGGACCCCGCGGGCTCCCCGTCAGCCGCCGGCCGCCCGCCCGCCCGCCCGCCTCTCGGGGTGCCGCGAGGGACTTCCTCTCTCTTCCCCTCCTCCTCCTCCTCCTCGCCCGCGCCCCGACTTCCCGCCCCGGCTCCTGGCGCTCGCTCGCCCGCCCTCTCCTCTGGGCCGGATGCCCACCCCACCCCCGGGGCACCGGGAAGGTCTCTGTGCCTGGGACACCGACGCCCTCAAACTGGACGGTGGTCTTCAGCATCCTCCGCCAGGACTGGGGTGGCCCCACCTGTCCACGCAGGTGATGCGGAAGCTTTGGCGACCGTCGGAGCCACCTATGGCCCCTCCCCAGCGGGCCGCGCCCACAGCCTGGCTAAAGACCCTGAATGACACCCCCTACTGTAAGCCCAGCGGTGAGAAATCTAAAAGCTTGAGAAAGTTCTGTTTCTGGCGGGACACAGTGCCCTGAGAGCTCCCCCGAGAAGCCCAGCTGCTCTTGGGGAGCCTAATCTTGGAAGCACTGTCTGCTCAAGGTCCACTCGCTCGCACTGAGGTGAGAAAGCGGGTTAGGTTAAATGATCATTTAGCGTCAGCGTATCCTGGACCTGTGCTTTTACAGTCATTTCCAAAGACAATTAGGGAGCACCTCTTACTGCAGGGGATGGTTTTAGAGAAGTGGGAAAGCCAGAGCCCAGACACCAAGGCAGCAGGGAATTTCCAGCTTCCTGGTCCTCAGGGTTGGTGTCTTTTCTCATTGCTCCCCACTCTGGCTGGGGTTTTTCAGTTGCTTCTTGTTTTTCTACAGCGGTGTACGGTCACAGCCCACGTGGCCCTCAGGCTAAAGTGACCCCAGGAATTTTGAAGAAGTCTAAACTGGGAATCTCTTGAGTTCCTCTGATTGGCAGCATTGCACCGAGTCTACCCCTGGCTAGAAGAGAGTGAATGTTTTATCCATTGCTTAGAGCGTTAACAGGACCCCTGAGAAATGGTTACAGCCAATTTTTGGATAGTTCATAGAACGTCATAGCAGAAGCGTTATTCTGTCATCACAGGAATCCTTGTTTTTGTGCCACCCAGCCACCTACCTGCCTTGTTCTGTTTTCCTGCTAAGCCTGCCCTCCCAATTGGCTAGTTTTACCAGCCATTTCTCAGGATCCAAAACACAATATGCATCAAGTTGTCCAGAAAAGGACAAGAAGGCTATAAGAAGTAGGAATGTGAGTTAGAGGAGCGTGGTCTGCCGCAGAAAGTAGGCACCAAATGAATGAATATACAGTGTTAATCAAACAGAGATATGTAAAAGCCACCCTTTATATTTTTGGCCTCAGAACAGGAAGGTAGAATGTGTTGTCAAGGGTCATTCCAGGAGGAGAAGGAGGGGTAAGTTCCAAAAAAAACTTACTGTATGTTTGTGATTTAATTAATACAGATTCTTCCAGTATATCTTTTTTATCATCTATGCTTTCACAAGATAACATCATAAAATAAATACATATTCCTGACTACATTGTCTTGGTCCTCTTTAAATTAATATATATGTATGTATATATTTGTTGTTGTTGTTTGTTTGCTGTTTGTTTTTTCCAGCAGCCCTTACCACACAAGTAAGTTTGGAAGGAGACACAGGAATTCAAATCTCTGCTCTCTGATAACTAGCTCGGTGCACATATTTTGCCTCTCTGTTGTTGTTCTCAGGCTCAGTGGCCATGAGGCTATCTATCCCGGACTGTCGAGAAGTGAGATGGGGAAATGCACACAAAACTCAGCCTTGCCTGATCTACAGCAAAGGTCACTGCACTTCCTCTATTTATTTTGCTGCATTCTGCCCATAAGTTCTAGAGAAGATACTAAAATTAGTTATTCACAGCCATTATACTTAAAGAGAAAGACCCCTTACTAAAAATACCATCTCCCTGAGGGCATCTCTAGAAACCAAAATGGCAAAAAAATGATGAACATTTATAAACAAGCAATTACTTTTCTAGGAGAAAGGACAATCCAAAATTTGGCCCTCTCACCAACCCCCACACAGCGTAGGTCAGCTGACTTAATTACCCAGGGGTATTTCCTCTGGTATTAATAATGCGTGAACTTCTCTTGCCTGGTGCTCTCCCTTTGCTGTTTCGCTTTCTTCACCCCTCCCCCTTTCATCCCTGGACTCAATACTGAACAGCTTTCCATGTTCACTGCAAACAAAAGGCGTTAATGACAGTGATGAAGTTGTCATAACTTAACTGCTAGAGCCTGTCGCTAAATACTATCACCAGGCTGTAATCATTACAACGAACAGAAAACAAATAGCAACCCATTTGTGCTTAGCCCTGTAGGGATCCCTTGCGAATACTTGTGTTTTCTACCCTCCTCCACCAGAGGATTTAAATGACTCTGGGCTCAAGCTGCTCCTGATAATAGATTAAAACTCCAGAGTATCCGGAAGTTTCCTAATGTTCCTCTTACTGGCTTTTCTACTTTCCATCCGTAAGGGAGCTGTTGCTGAGAAGCATACATTAAAGTTTGAGCTCTCCAGAGTTTATTTTGATTGCAGTTTCCAAGAAAAAAAACCAATGAGAGAACAGACTGGTCTTACTTGTTTTAGATTCTATGTTTTACTGGGACTTCCTACTCAGAGAACCCCTGGACCATAAAATATGAAGGGAAAGAGGCAAGGAGAGAAGTTTAAACTGGGAAATTAATCACAAATGAAAATGACAATAACCCCAATGGGAAGATTTCTGGAACAGCAAAACACCCCTCACTTGTACTCATTACATGTCACACTCTTGAAATCAGTTTCCATTAAATTTTCCTGTCCCTGAACTATGGTTGCTTTGAAAGCAAACTGCACAGCTCATTCTGTCATGCAGTACACTCAACTTGTAACCAAGAAGCAGTTTCTGCTCATTATTACTTGCATCATAATGTAAGGTTTTTCATCTTGGTTACATCAGCAAAGCTTTGCAAACTTTAATGGCAACTGTATATATAGCAATGCAGCACTTTAAAAGACCTGCTGAAAGCATAATACCATGTTTTGAATTTAATAGCCCTAAAATTATGTTCAGTGTAGAAGCCTTTAAATACAAGTGTAGGAACATATTTCTACACCAAGTCTGGTTAGAGTCACTTAAGAAAAAAAAAGCCAGGAAGTGTGGCCCAGAGGACTGGTTTGGGAGTCAAAGGGACTTAGGAGGACTAGGACTAGGTGAGTGGTGTGAACTCTGCGCCTTGGCTCACTCTCAGTAGTGCTAATGGGATTGCTGAGAACAAGATTGTACTGTATTAAAAGCACTTACAACAGTTTGACACGTAAGCAGCACTCAATAAATACTGAGCATTGTCATCATTAAAGGGTCTATATATCACGGAAGGCATGATGGAAGGAGAATGGTTCTGGGATGTAAAAAACAAGAAACAGCATTAGCTGTGACTTGCTGGCTTTGGGATTGCTAACTAACTGTAGGCAAGTCTGTTAAGCTTTTTAAATCTTACTTTCTGCCACTAATTAATGAAGGAATTGATTGAGCTGCTCCCCTAGGTCCTTTCAAATTCTAAACTTCTGTGGCTGGATTTAATCCTGCAGCAAAGCCTTTTGCGAGGTAAGAGCACATGCCCTTCAGTAACATCTGAGGGCTTAGGATTCACTGCGTTGGCAATACCGAGGGCACGATGATCTTCACCATGGCACAATCCGTAGCAGGCAGGTCTAGAATGTGTTCCCCAGCAACTCCACTCAGTCACAGACACTGCTCTATAGGTATGTGTCGAACAGATGAATGAGGGAAAAAGATAGCAAAGAGCCTGAGGAGCAAAGATTGTCTCTAGGACTGTCTTCCATAAGATAATCTAAAGGAAGGCAAAGGGTTGGGGGGTTATATAGCTCAGTAGTAAAGGCATGCTAGCATGTATGAAGTCCTGGGTTCAACCCCCAGCACTGGAAAGAAACCAAAACAAAACAGCAAAAAAACTGTCAAGCATAAAAGAAAGAAAAATTTCTGTTTAAAACCACAAGTGTTCCTCGAAGGCTGCATCCTTTTACGGGACAAAAACCTCACTGCCAGGTCCCTGCTGCTCCATGCTTGCTGCCTGTGCAGCAGTTGAGATTCCTAATGAGCTTGGGCTGTGCACAAGTCAGTGAGGTGATCTGGGCCTCAGAATGGAGAATTACATCCTTGGCCAAACAGAACTTGGGGATACTGCAGAGAGAAAGAGCTACCAGATGTTCTGAGATCAAACACTTCAGGCAATGGGTAGCCAGTGAAAAACCCTGCAGGGAGGGTGGTCCAGAGAATATTCCAAAACAGGAAGTCTCCTGTGCCATTTTGTTTGCTGCTATATACTGCAATGCTGCATCTGTCTAGTAGCTCTTCCAACCCCTGGCTTGTGCTGAGTGCTTTGATGGTAGGCTGTAGGGGAGCAGGGAAGTATGCCCCCTCCTGGAGCTATTGCCAGTCAGTTGAGGATTCTTTTGCTTGATGTAGATGAAAACTGCAAATCAGCGAAGTATAGCTCTGCTAGAGGAATTGGGGACTTTAGTGTCAGTGGCTCTCAGCCCTTGCTGTTACAGCTCTGAGGCTCCCAGGCAAATGTTGCAGATTCCTTCCAGTTGTTATTACCGGTGTGTTTCCTGATGCCACCGCTGGAAGCCAGTCAGTGGCATCTCCCAAATTATTCAGGCTGGCGCTCCTGACTGTTTAGAGCTCATTTTAAGAGACTCATTATGTGTACACACCCAGAATAATGCAGAGTTAGAATTGCAGATGTTCTGGGAACACTGTTGTTGAACACTGTTGTGCAGCATCACAGGTAGGGAATATCATCACACATGTCCTACCCCCTCCT